ACCTTCTACAAGAGCCACATGCGAAGAGCACCGGCGTGGTCAAGGAGAAAGTGCCCAAGCTGGCCAGCTTCAAGCTCAAGCCCTATGTGAACTACCTCGCCCCAGTGGCCACCGGGCACTGACAGGCCCCTGACGGCTGGCAGAGCAGCTCTTTCGTGAGGTGGTGGCCGCCAACGAGAAGGACTTTAGGGACAATACCAAATGCCTGGAGAAGCACAGCTTCGAGCCCACGCAGGAGGCCAAGCTCTTCCAGCTGTATCCCACAAGACCTTCCTATGCTAGCCGCCAGTGATGCAAGTCTAGACCGCACATTGCCCCCTGCACGACCCCAGCATCTCTGTCCCTTTACCTGGCTTCTATTAAAGACCGTGGCTACCTTAAACAAATGAAAAACAATTGGTTCTCATCAAAATTAAAAAGTTTCACTCTGTGGAAGCCCATGGGAAGAGGATGAAGACAATATAGAGACGTGGAGAAACCATTTACCAACCATATTATCTGACAAAGCACTAGAATCTACAATATATAAAGAACTCTCAAAACTCAACAGTTGAAAACAATTAAGTTAAAATATGGGCAAAAGACATTTCACGATGGCAAATCAGCACATGAAAAAGATAAAACATCATTAGCCATTAGGGAAATGCAAATCCAAACCACAAGGAGATAACACTACATGCCTAACAGAATGGCAAAAAATAAATTAAAAAGATGTCAATACTAAACACTGGCAAGGATATGGGGAAGCTGAATCACTCACCCATTGCTGGTGAGAAGGTAAAATTTTACAGCCATTATGAAAAACAATTTGGTAAGTTCTTATAAAATTAAACATGCAATTACCAAATGAACCAGCAAATGCACTCTTAAGGCATTTATCCCAGAGAAATGAAAATTTATCTCTACATAAAATCGCATACATAAATGTTCATGGCAGCTTTATTTCCAATAGCCAAAAACTGAAGACAGCAAAGATATCTTTCAGTAGGTGAATGGTTAAACAAAGCATTCACCTAGTACCGTGGTCGGCAAACTGCGGCTCACGAGCCACATGCAGCTCTTTGGCCCCTTGAGTGTGGCTCTTCCTAAGCCTTAGGAGTACCCTAATTAAGTTAATAACAATGTACCTACTTATATAGTTTAAGTTTAAAAAATTTGGCTCTCAAAAGAAATTTCAATCATTGTGTTGTTGATATTTGGCTCTGTTGACTAATGAGTTTGCCGACCACTGACTAGTATATCAATGCTATGGAATATAACTCAGCAGTAAAAAGTAGTAAACTGTTGAAACATGCAACAACTTGATGAATTTCCAGAAAATAATTCTGAATAGAATAATTCTGAATGAAAAAGTGAATCCCAAAAGTTTACATAGTTTACATTCCATTCATATATTATTGAAATTGCAAAATTTTAGAAATGTAGAACAGGTTAGTGGTTGGCGTGGGTTGGTGATGGGGTGGGGTGTGGGAGGGACGTGTGTGTGGTTATAAAGGGGTAACAGGAGGAATCCTTGTGTTAATACAACTGTTTAGTATCTTGATTGTGGTAGTAAATACACAAACCTATACATATAATAAACCTCTGAAGAACTAAATATACACACACATAAACAAATACAAGTAAAACAGGAAATATGAATACGGTCAGTGAATTATATCAGCATCAATATTCTAGTTGTGATATGATACTTTTGCAAAAGGTATCACTGAGGGAAACTGGGAAAAGTGTACATGGATATCCTCTGTATTACATTTTAAATCTGCATGTGAATCTATAATAATCTCAGTAAAAAGTTCAATAAAAAATACAGGAGCATAATCTTAAAAATCCCTGTAAAGGCTCCTATCAAGGAACATTTCTCCTATTCCCATGTATATAGTTATCTGTAGAAAACTGTCCTTGAACTATGGAGACCTTGGATCTATGGTTCTTCCACTTGTTCTAAAAGGTCACTTTAAATTTAGAATGCAATAATGTTCTGAAAATAAAACCTTGAGATCACGAACTACCATCTTAATTCTAGATTACTGTCAGGAAGAGTGAAGGATTCTTTTATACTTTCATGTACTCCAAATGTTTAAATGGGCAGAATCTTAGATTCAATATCTTCTTTATACTCTACTGTGGTTAAGGATGAATATGCAGTGAGGAAGCTAAGAACTAAACCTAAGGAGGTTCGATCAAAACAATATGGGGAATGAGAACTCAGCACTATTGAAGTAGACTTGGTTAGAGATGATGGTGGCTTACACTAGGATGATAAGAGTGGAAGAAGGTTGAGAATATCATGCTAAGTGAAATATATAAGTCAGAGAAAGCTAAGAACCATATGATTTCACTCATATGTGGGATATAAAACTGAAACTCACAGACAGCAGGTTACCAGAGGGAAGAGGGTGGGGTGGGTAGTAAAAGGTAAAGGGGGCCAAATATATGATGCCCTTTCCTGACATGGAAAAGATATGAGAGTAACAGATTTGCAGAGTGGGGCGGAAGTATGATATGATGGGTTAAGATTTCTATTTAGAATAAAGAAGTGGGATGTGTATTTGTAAAAAGTTCTCTAGGTCAGCGATATTCAACAGGTGTGCCACAGGAGGCATACTAGTGTGCCACAAAATTTTTTTTAAAACATTCAGTACCTGACTATTTAGTCAGGAGCACTGACCTCTTTTCCCTTAGATTTTCAAATTAAAAAAAAAAATACAACAGCCAACACAACAATAGCTGTCCGGTGTGAGTGAATCAAACTTAAACCTATTTTTTTTTGTCAGATTGGCAAAAAATATAATAGATATTTTTGGTGTACCGAAGAATTTTAGTAATTAATTAGTTTATGTGTGCCATGAGATGAAAAAGATTGAAAACCGCTGCTCTAGGTGATTTGGATATGCCTTTCTTTTTCCCCACATCACCAAATTGAGAACCAACCATCTATTGGAACACAGGGACTCTCTCATAGGAATGCATTTTCTATAAACTGAGGACATAACAGGTTATTCAACTTCTATACAAAGGAAAGGAAGAATTTTTACCTAGAGAGATGACAGTCTCATAGTTTTCCTGCATTACTTCATTGTAGAGGGTCTTCTGAGTAGGGGCCAGTAATTTCCATTCTTCTTCAGAAAAATGCACAGCCACGTCTTCAAATGTCAACGAACTCTAAAGAAGAGAATGGGTTTTAGTTCAGTATTTGCCACTACAGAAGGTGTACTGTCACTTATTTCTGAATTACATGGTAGGTCAGTCACTGAAATTAAGTGTATAAAATTTAGGGAGGAAAAGTGAGTGGCAGAAAAGAAAGAAAAGAGATCAGTAAACAAGCTTGGGAGGTGCCCAATTCCCACTGTCCCAAGCCTAGCTGTGTAAAGGACATCTGAGGCTAACTAGGCTCAGGGTACCTGCTGGGCACTGTGGGTCTTGGGCAGCAGAGAAGAGCATAGATAAGGTCACATTCAGGCTGCCTGAAAAATCTGGAATGTACAGCTCACCTGGGATTCAGGCAAGAGGAGCTCAGTTGCCATCTTCCAGTTTGGGGTGCTTTTCTGCTCAGAAAAGGCTAGAATCTGTTGAGCAGGCACAGCTGTGGGTGGAAAGGAGCCAGAAAATTTCTCTTTTCTGTTTATGAATATCCTGAGCTGATTTGTAAAATATAGAATATCAGGACACCTTCAGTAAAGATAGTTCACTTTCATGTGTTGAGTGTGTGTGTCATGCCAAAAGTGGCCTTTTCATGGTAAATAAGAACCAAATATCCACCACTCCATAGAACCAGTTCCCCAGATTTCATGAGATAAATTATTAAAGGAAATTCACTATTTTTTCCTATCATAAAATAGTTTGTTCATTGGGCTGGGCAAGAATTAGAGGTGTTTGAAAATGAAGGACTCAAGTCCTCCAGTGTATGGCAGGAAATGTGAAATATTTTTGTCTATTATTATTTTTTCCTTGTGCATAATTCTCTTCTTCTTTTGCCATTGACAGTTCATTTCTGATCTACTTTCTCCTCTAACTTACAAGGGTCAGATGACCCCACCAATCCCTATTCCATCTTCTCTCAAATTTCTAAGGAACAAGGTCCATGATATGAATACCAGGGTTCCATGGTTTGGATATTTCTGTACCTCAGACTGCTCCTCACCTTCACCCACCATTGACCTATTGTAGTCCCATATGAGAGACATCCTAACTGCTAGCATGGCTGGGCATCTGAAAAATTCCCATGATATTCTAGCTGAATCGATTACTATCACAGCTCCCAGAAGAGAATTTTTATGAAGCTCCTCACCTCTTTCATATACAGGCTGTGTTTCTGTGTGAGTTTTCGAGCCCAGCTGTTCTTGTAGTACCTGGTATGCATTCCAACATTCTTTCTGGAACACACCCATTGCTTGGGGCTCTGCTGGCTTCCACTTAAAGCCTGGGACCTCTGCTGTTCCTCCCAAGAGCACTGCCTCCTTTCCCAGGTCATGGACTGTGACCTAGAAATAATCCCCATCCTCATTAGCACAGAACTTACTTGCAGTTTTAGGGTGTGGTGGAGGGATGAACAAGAATAGAGCCCAGATTTAGGGAGTGTGTGACATTAAAGGACGTACTAAAAAACTGTAAAGGGATTGTGCTACCCTTTTCTCACAAAGAATTATATACATCACCTGGGAAAATTAGGAAAAAATATTTAAAAAGTTGTGACTGCTGCTAACCTCCACCCCTCCACATACAGCCACAGCTCAGGCTACTAGCAGACTGGGTGCAGGCTGCCTGTTCTCATGCTGCCTTCACTGGCTTGTTTCCTAGACTTAAACCCTTGCCTGAGTGGATTTCTATATTTTAGTCTTATCTAAGGCATTAAATAAAAAAGGTTTTTCCTCTTTGTCAGATTTTCTAATCCCCTCATGGCTAGGAAAGGATTTCGTGGAGAAAGGGGATGGAATGGGGGGGAAACTGGGGAAAGTTCAGCTCTAACCTCCCTCTTCAGGATTCAGTTGTAGTGAGACACAATAATATATCCTGCCCTGTGTTCCTCAAGGTGGGCTCCTGAGGAAAGGAAGTGTGCTGCCATCTCCCCAGGGCATACCTTGGTCCTCCACTCACCAGCAAAGCCAAGGCTAGATCACTAAGGGAGGGTACCGGAGGCTCTTTTCCTAGCCCAGAGATGTGTATTCCCACTACAGAGGGCCTACCCCTCAGCATCTTGATTCTCTCCATTCCTCTTTTGGCATTTTTCTTCTTTCCATGTCCTTGCATCCCATTTATTCTATTTTTTCTCCTCCTCTGCAGTCTCCCCAGAGTTATTTGATTTATACTTCTGTTTGCTACCCTCGCTCTCCCTTGATCTGTAAGTTCTGTCTGCCCCTCCCCCGCCCTGATTTTCTCCCCTTTCCCAATTTGTTCTTGCCTTTTATTTCTGTTTCTAGGAAATCAAGTCCTATCTCCTTCGCCATGCCCGACTAGGCTCACCACACTCAATTTGCACTGGCCCTAAATAGGGCAAAATGCATTTTTTTGCTAAGGCCAGCAAAGACTGCCAGGAGCTCTGAAACCTGTAGACTATTGCTGCATATATGTGGTTTCAGATCTCACCTAATTGTCCTAAAGGAACAACGGAAGAGTGACCTAACCAAAATCATTCCCCCATTAATCTCCCAACCCATAAACATACCCACTGTTATCCTATTTCATTGTATGTGTGAGGAATCTTTTTTCTCACCTCATTACTTATTCCACCAGGTCTCTC